TCTTTCCAGGGATGGAGGTGAGGCTGACTGGCCTATAGTTACCTAGGTCTTCCTTCTTGCCCTTTTTGAAGACCGGAGTGACATTTGCTTTCCTCCAGTCCTCAGGCACCTCTCCCATTCTCCACGATTTAGCAAAGATGATGGCGAGTGGCCTGGCAATGACATCCGCCAGCTCCTTCAGCACCCGCGGGGGCATCCCACCAGGACCCCGACTTATGGATGGCCAGGTTGCCAGGTATCTTTCAGTTTTAGGCATATTCATATCACATTATGAGTGGTACAACTTTATTTAGTTTATATAGTCTTAAACGGTAATTCTGTGGTTTTGACCAAACTCAAGAAATCTCTAGAGTGGGCAAAAAACCTGAAATATGAACAGAAAACTAGTGGTAGCAAATGTATTATTCAAAGGAGAATAGGATTTACTGACTATGCAGCGCTGACCAGTCTAAACGGGAAGATGGGCGTGAGAAGGAAGCCAGCACCTTTCTCAGAATTAAGTCCTGTCTGACACCTCACAAGAAATCCTGATAAACTGGTATGGATACTTTTGAAGGAACATACAGCCTTCCTGAGCTGTCTCGACCCCTTGTCTCGATTGCAAGAAGTGGGATCCAGGACCATTGACAACAGGAAGGGACTGTAGATTAACCATCGGGCACACGGTTGTCACTTCTTCTGGTCTGGGAAAGGAGGAGGCAGTCTGGAAAGGAATTACTGCCTTGTATCACTTACATGCCTTTTTTTTTTTTTTACTCTATTAATGTAGACAATTATTAGAACTTTATTAATGAAGACCTTTCGACATTTTTAATTGTGTGAGTATTTTCTTGAGGCTTCAGTGGTTCTGTTTGATGAGGGGGTAAACTCAGCCAAATGTCTTTCTGGTATCTCTTGGCAACAATTGAAACACAAAATCCAAATATTAAGAACCTACCCCTTTTGTAGCAGGTATAAACAATGACCAGAAACCACTACATTTTATTCTCTGTCATACTAAAAAATTGCTCCCATTTACATTTGCCGTATGGACTCACAGTTCTTACAAGTAGGAAGGAACCTGTGTCAAACAACGAAATGCAGCAATACTTTTTACTGCTTCTCCTTGTCAACACTTCACTATCTTAAATTTTGTAAAAAATAAATCCAGCAGTACAGATTTTCACAGAAAAAACAAGCCAATAGGTACTTAAATTAGATTTTCTGTTTATGCTTTTGAAAATTCCCTGCTATTTTTCTGTAACTGCACGCATATACTATTTGTAAATATGGCATTCATCATAGAGAAGGCAGGAATTATTCCTTTATTTAAACTACACTCTGCATCACGTTTTTCTGAGCGTTATTCTGGAAAGACTTCATGGCCTGCAGTAAGAATTCAGAATTTTCAAGAGACATCCTTAGGGGTCAATCAAGTATGTGACTTGTACCGTCCCCATTACAGTCCATTAAAATCTTGCTGAATTGTGAAAGGTTTAACACCTGCCAGCGATTAATGCCCTCCGTGATCTCCTCAGCAGAGTTTTAAAGACAACAGTCGCCACGATTACTGCAGGCTCCTGCAGCCTTGCACACGGGCTGACCTCATCTTCCTGCACGCTGCTCCGGAGAGCCGTGTGTCTAGAACAGGCATGGGCAAAACTGATCCTTTTCTGATTAAAATGTTTTCAGCTTGGAGGAAGACTGAGAGCACGGGCAACTCAGGTCTCAGTTGTGCGCCTGTCTCTCCTTTTGTTACTGCGCAAGGGCAATCTCCTAGTTTCCTTGAACATCTGGTGCTCTTTGCAATTCTACTACTAAGCATATTTGGAGGAGAGATAAGCAATTGCACAATTTTTTTATGGCAATAAGGCAAAAAACCTTTGGGACTAGATTAATTTCCCTTGGGAATTACTAACGATTCTATCGTCGTATTTCAGAGTGAAATGACTTCTGAATCCTATCCGCTCTCCTCTGAAAAGTTCATAACCGCCACCATATGTTCATTTGGCGTATCTGTTATATCCTTTCTTATTTGAAATACAATCTACCAGCTCCAAACTCCAGCTGAAACGACCATGTTACAATTAATCCTTTCAGGGAGAATACAATCAAAACCGAGAATTTGAAAAGCGGTGCTCCTACAAGATCGTTGTTTCTAGAGTCCTACACATCTGCTCTTCAATTACTTTCAACTCTCTTAAAGACTCGTCAGCCAAGAACTCTAAGAATGAATCATAGAATCATAGAATGGTTTAGGTTGGAGGGGAGCTCAAAGATCATCTAGTTCCAACCCCTCTGCCATGGCCAGGGACACCTTCCACTACACCAGGTTGCCTCATCCAACCTGGCCTTGAACACTTCCAGGGATGGGGCATCTACAACTTCTCTAGGCAATCTGTTCCAGTGCCTCACCACCCTCAGAATGAAGAACTTTTTCCTTACATCTAATCTAAATCTCCCCTCTTTCAGTTTAAATCCATTGCCCCTTGTCCTATCACTACACGCCCTCGCAAAAAGTCCCTCTCCAGCTTTCCTGTAGGCTGCAATAAGATCACCCTGGAGCCTTCTCTTCCCCAGGCTGAACAGCCCCAACTCTCTCAGACCATCAATGAAGCGAAGGGCAAACATTTTCATTTTTGAAAATTCTCCGAAAAGATCTTTAGAAGGAGAATTTAAAATCCCACTCTCTCTCCCAGAGTCAGACACTCCTACCTTTGCAAGAGCTGCAGTTGATACTAAGGAGTGGCCCAAGGCTGCTTCTGGGTCGGGGTAATCCACAGACATCTGGCGACCTGGTGATGTAGGAGTGACGTCTGCCAGTGCCACACGAGCACCGCGGGGACCCGCTCCTCTCTCCTGGGCTTTATCCTCGTGTGCTTCCTGATGGGTGAATTCTGCTGGTGACCTGGAGGTCCTGCTCGCCGACTGCACCGCGCTAAGGACGGTCATCTTCGTCAGCAGCGCTTTTGGCAGACCATCCATAGAGTCCGTGTGAACCCCAGCAAAACAGTCTGGAAGTCTGATGTCTTCGTCAGCGCCAGCGCCGTGCCGAGAGGGGTGATGCTGGGGGCTGGCCGTTACCGAGGGGGTTGTGGATAGGACTGACTCAGCCTGGCTGTCTTCATCATCATCTTCATTGTCGTTTTCATCTTCATCCGCACCATCAGACTCCTCCACATCATATCCTGACCGGTCGTAGCCAAATCTTTGCTTCTCACCTGCTAAAGTGGGAATCAGAAGGTAAGGTAATGAAGGTCTTGGACTGACTGGGAAGGAGATGGGAGGGAGTAATCAGAAACACCACAAAACCACATGCATGCACGTTTTTCAGTCACATCCCATTACAAAAAAGCAACAGGGAAGATTTTAATTTTTGTTTTTGCTTTCCAGGGTACATATTTAATTATACAGCTACATAATCTTTCATCTTCTGCCTCTGTGTTGTTTTTAACCTTTTAGATCTGGCTGTTTACTTTTCAGCCATTTACAACCATTTGCTCAAAGTCACCCTTCACTGTTTTGCTTGGGGAAAAGCGAGCAGATTCCTGGTTCATTAAGTTCCCAGTGATGACATACGAAGCTGGTCTGCCAACCTTGGCGGTGGGATATTCTCTAGCTGGTTCTGACTCATAAGTGGGTGTCCTTGTACCTAACATGAATCACTGCTGCAAAGGTTTCTGAAGGATGCAAACAGAAAAACTGGAGGCTGCTAGTCAAGGATCTGTCTCGTTAACAGGCAAAAGAGACCCAAATTAGACCTTAGCAGATTTCTTCACTTTGCTAATGTTTCGCAAGTTTATTAACAAATCACCCAAGATGTACTAGGAGGCAAGAAAATCCTAATCCTATCAAAACTTACCTATGCGTGAAACTTTGCTCACATGAAGAAGCCCTCTTGACTTCAAGTCTTAAAGCCAAACTGCTGTTTAGTGGTAAATTTCTCTACAAAATACAACTCTACTGCAGCTTTTCACCTTCTTTTATATCATAACTTGGATAGAAGAAAGAATCATCTTTAGTAAAGAGACAGAAAATCCCATCTGCTGTATCTGATTCCAAGCCAGACTGTCTGGGATCGTATTTTGTAAAAGACAAATTGCTTTGGATGCACTAATATTTTATATTTGATTAAAGGTCCGTCTGCTGAGCTCTCAAAAAAAAATATCAGCGTAAAAATCATTTGGCTCTTCAAAACCAATGATGGCTGGTTAGTTAAAATCTCAGAGATCCTGTTCTAAGGAAATCTACACAGCAATTTATCGTCAAAATAAAGGATTCTGAAAAAAATCAGACCCTTAAAAGAATTGGAATGTACTACCAATGCTTCAGGCTGCTACGTTACCAAAATCAAAATAAGCACCTCGAACTCCAGGTAAAATAAATGGGTTTAATTGAGCTACCTCTCAATAAGTTACTCACCATTATAAGCCTTTATGGTTTCGATTGAGCAGTGCAATTAGGAATGAGACTAACAGCTTCTTTGAAAAAAACCCTCTATAATGACTTTGCCCCTCTTCGCCTACACAGTAATTTGTACATTAACTAAACATGGAAACTACAGATTTTTTACATTTACTGCAGCAGGA